ACCATCAGATTCTTTTGTAAATGCTCAAGCCGGCGGCGAATCTACTAGTTCAATGTGGCTGTGGTTGATTCCAATAGTCATGGGATGGCTGCAACTCTCCCCGAAATGCGATTCAATCGCCTACAAGCAGCTTATGATCGTGCCGACCGACATGCGCGCGCAGGAATAGCAGATAGACCTATTGCAACACCACCTGCGTCCGCCCAAAGAGCTTTAACAATAACTGCGCAGGAGGAGGATGTCATGTCTCCAGACGAACTCCTACCCCTCCGGTGTTTAATTACTCACGTTCGCTGCAATGGGCATACACAGCAGAGAATATTTTCCTGATGTACAAAGCGGCATCAGAGAAGGCTCGAAACCGTGTTCCCGTTAACATCGAGAGTGAGTGGGTGAATCCGACGATTTTAAATCCATCCACCCCGCAATCGATATGGGACTTCTCAGGAAATTGCTGCATACTGCACGCAACCTGGCTGTGCTCGGCGCAGCCATTGGGCGCCTGGCGTGTTCACAAGAATGGTTATCGCGTCATGCGCTTCGCTTGCATTACAGTGGGGAACAGTCGGAGGAGCCTTTATAGTCGAGTGGTTTACTCCAACAACTGTGCGTTTCTTCTGGTATATATGACACGTCGGCTGACTTCTGACAGGGTGTTGGGTGTCGATCTCTAGGTCACCTTCTTTACGGAGTTGTATCGACTACCATTTGGATGATGCTCCTGATATCCAGTATTCTCGCCCACTATTCCGCAGCTTATCTTATCGAGCATCACTGTCTGCACGTGTTGCTCTGACGTTCTCACACTTGCTGCGAAGGATGGGAAAACTGTTGGCCATTGCAAACTCCCTCTGGGTGGTCTTGGCGTGTATTCTTCAATATTCCGGCTTCTATAATACATGCTTCTGCAATTCCAGTATCATCAGTAGGGGAAATGCTGCTGCATACATTACTATCATCGAAACCACAGACCAGGCTGCACTGGCCAAGGTGGCCTGGATCGGTGCCCTTTTCCTAGTGTGTACCTCAGCATCGGCTTTCGTCGCCTTCGTGGGTCTTTTATTGGATACTCTCTCTCGATAACTATTATTGCAAGTAAACATATTATGTAGTTATTTTGACTACTAGAAGATATCCAAGTTGCTTTGCCACTCAGTATTCAAATGTTGAGATTTGGAAACATTGCTGGCAGCATGCCATACATTTATGTTACCCCTTGTTCAAACTCAACTGCATGCGATTTAATGCAGCGACCAGCTCATAAGTAGTAATATTTGGTGTTACTATTCGAGCAACAGTACGCTCAACAAGGTCTATGAAACAGCAAGTACGGGAATGCAAGTCAGTTATTATTATCAAGCCCAGATGAATGTCATCTTTTCGACGCCGCAGGATCCCAAGATTAGAGTCATGGACGTATAGAATCCTATAAATGACATACATAAAGAACTACTGACAATATCAAGTTTGCATGTGACCTAGTAGTCATTTTAGTATACTGCCAGTGCAGTATATTAATGCGCGCGTCACTTAGTCACCGCAATTTCACGCTGAGAATCCCTGTGCAAACTGCTTATTATGTGAATGGGGGTCGAAGAGCTTGAACCATCGATCTGGCCTCTGCACAATAGTAGCGGTGACTAAGTGACGCGCACCATCAGGACCACGTGTTGAATAAGATACTACAGTAGCTAAGGATAGTTCTGCAATGACAGTTGGCTCCTGGCCTGATCTGATACAACTTGGATCTGGCCTATCAGCGTATCTAATCAGGACTCGATTCTGTTGATTCCATCGATTTCGGTAAAGTTCACCTGAAGCGTCCGAGCTCTCCACCAAAGTCGTAAGCGTTCGTAAGCGTCCGACGTAAACACGCTCAAGCTCAGCGTTAATTTCAGTGGTTTTACTGATGCGCCTTGTCTTCCACATCAAAGGAAGATACTCGTCGAGATGCGGTCCCCAATTATTTACATAATAGACTGAGTCAATTATAACGTTTGTTCCGAGTACCGTTTGAGCCGAGGCCCACGTGCCACGCTTGTCTGCGGCCCTCGTGACTGTATCAAACGCCGCGCCGGGTTGTATAAAAGTGAACTCGTCAGATATATCTCAGCATACCCTTCCGCTGCATTATTCATACCCATAGGCTTAGCAATGTCGTTTGTGCGGTTACGTTTGACACCATTCCGGTTTGCTAGGCTTACGCAGCCTGCAACTCGCTCATCATGGCGACCTACTGCCATTGGGAGCCGGCACATGTCCCAAAATATCGATCGGGATTCTACGACGGGGAAAGCTGCTGTTCCGCTCGATATTGAGGTATAGACAATGTTTTTGAACTTTTTTTTATCGTTTTAACAATCTACGAAGTCCTCCCGGCTCACTGTCACCAAAACAACGAGCCCAAAAGAACTCCCTCCCTCCAAGAGCCTTCTCTTCGGGCGGACATTCGTGAGTCATTTTCTCAGGTTCCTCATGTGTTGTGCCTCATTGTGATTCCAGTCAGATCATATGCTGAAAATCCGCTGGACTGAAGCTACTGGCTGGGAAGCACCCAGCATTGAACCTTGTGAGTCCAACCGCTTTTGTCATAGCTTTTATCGATGTATTTGCTCTTATGTTCTAGTCAGTACCATCAATCTGTCCCCTAGTGCTACCGTGCTTCATTATGCCCAATCACTATTTGAGGGCATGAAAGCCTACAGACATGAGAATGGCACTGTGACGATGTTCCGACCTGACATGAATATGAAGCGTATGAACATCAGTGCACAGCGACTAGCGCTTCCCGTACGCTCTATTCTTCTATTCTGAATAGATGATCATACCTGTCTCCCAACAGGCATTCGACGGAAACGCACTTCTTGAATGCATAAAGGAGTTAATCTCCCTCGACCGTCAATGGATACCTAAGGAGCCCGGACACAGTCTTTACATCCGACCTACATTTAGTGGGTAGTGTAACCCTCGTTGCAGAGACAAATACTAAAAGTCACTGCAGTCGGCACTAATGGTACGTTAGGTGTTGCGCCCCCCAGCGAAGCACTACTCTTCGTGATCACCAGCCCTGTGGGACCATACTACCCTCACGGGTTCAAGCCTGTACCTTTACATGGCACAACAGATTACATTCGTGCCGCGCCTGGAGGTACGTCAAACTATTGGCTCACCAATCGGATATTGTAATCATTACACCTAAAGGTACCGGTGCGTATAAGCTTGCTGCGAACTACGCACCAGGCGTTGTAGCACAAAAAAGTGCAGCGAAACAGGGCTACGCACAGAACCTGTGGTTACATGGTCCCGAACACTGGCTCACAGAGGTGGGCACCATGAACTTATTTGTCGTTATTAAGGACAAGGACGGCAGTAAGCATTCACTTCATCGGTGTCTCAATCGCGTGTTGAATTCATTGCATTTGCAGTAACCGAACTCATTACTCCCCCTCTCGACGGAATGATTCTTCCAGGTGTTACACGCGACTCTGTGTTAGCCCTTGCGCGTAACCACGTGTCGGGAGTTAAGCGTCTCGAAGGTCTTCCTGATACCATCAAGGTCTCGGAACGCCCAATTAACATGGGCGAGATTATCCAATCCTCAAAGGAAGGTCGACTTATCGAATTGTTTGGTACTGGAACGGCTGCTGTTGTCACCCCTGTGGACAGAATTGGGTACAACGGAGGTGATGTCGTGATTCCTACTGGTAAGGACGGTATGGGTCCCGTCTCGAAGCCTCTTTGGACAGAGCTGGTGGGTATCCAGACGGGGGCTATTAAGAGCGATTGGAACTATGTGGTGGCGCAGTAGGGCGGCGCCGTTCATCTACAAACAGGAGATCTATTTGTGCATTTTACTAGAATCTAGAGTTCTCTCATGGCGATCATAAGATGGCAGAATCAGCTAGTTGTAACACTGAAAGTTACCATGACATCTTTGTGTGCCAGCATCTGACTTTCCTTGTCTAGGTCCCTCTGTCATTAGGTATTATCAGGAACAGACCGCTAGAAGAATATTCAATTGCCGGAGTTACATATTGGTTGTACCAATGCATTCGAGGGCACTGGGCGGGTTGGCAGGCCTTATTCGGATCCAAACCGCTAGCAGTGGAAGCCCACCGACGCACCATCTGTATCGGAACCATGGCTCCCTGTTCTTCAGCCTTTACGCTCCACCAGTTTCGATGACTTGATTGACGGCGCATCACGCACATATCAGCATGCTCGCGGTGCCACGTAATCGACTGACTTAATCAGACAACGCGGAGAACGTGCTGGTTACGTTCTTGATGCGTACCTCGGATGTTAATGTAATATGTATGGGGCTAACGGCCAACCAGGAGTATAGCTTGTGACGAAAGGTTGCTCCTGGTCATGCACGCCGTAACAGTCGGGGGGACTAGCCCTGAGCCATCACCCTCCCTATGCAGTGGATTTGCTGCTGACGACAATGGTGGGACAGGAAGCGAGACTATTATTGTGACTGCACATGCTGTACGGGAGGCCTTGCCATTGGCACTGTCTCCCACAAGCAATCCTCATAAATCACATTAGCCTCAGGCAGTTTAAATCATAACAGGAACGTGTAATCGGGGCCATCTGTAGCCTCAGTAGCAGGAATCGGCCAAACATATCCGCAGCCCGTATCATCTGTACTGAGCGGATCTCCTTCTGCTGTCAAAGGGATAACCTGAATGAGTACGGCAGGTGGCCTCTGGATTGGGGAGCTCCTACACGAGGTACTGATATTCCAGCTGGCCAGGCTTTGACTACGTACGTAATTTGGTTTTGAAGACATCACCGTGGGTATATCTTGCAGGGCTGTCTTTTTGATGTCAATGCATATCCGTTCATCCAAGCCCATTGGACCTTGAATGACATCTGGGTGCTTAGACTGAGAAGCAATAGTTGCACACCATGTACTGATTTGTTAAATGCCTTGATGAAGATCGTACGAAGCGTGGCTACTGAGTTTTAGCGCTCGCAGCGATCCATAATCTGTGAACGCTGGTGGCAAGCAAGAGGGGCTGACTAAGAAGACGTGACCTTATAGCTTAGTCATAAGTCAAGGGCAAACTAATCATCATCCTTGGCAGTTGCCTCAAGCAGAGCATCCACCTGAGCATTTACTTGCATCGGTCTGGTAGTCCATTATACTTCTTTCATCCATAATTTTTTTTTTTGCATCTCGATAACCCAAGATACAGAGGCTGGTCGTCTCACTCTTATTTTCTCCCTTTTTCTCCGGTAAAAATGCTTTACGACCCGACCACCGTAACTCACCTAAAGCCCTGGTTGGTCCGAACTCTGGAGCCAATGTGCGTATTACCAGATACTCGGTCTCCATCGTCTCTGACAATCATTGGCATATCCAGATGTGATGCTGAGCCTGGGGCACTTGCTGAATACATTCTCGCTTTGCTGAAGCACAATGTCCCGGAAAATGAGATGAGAAAGGAGCTCAGCTCCCAGCTGGAAGAGTTTTTAGAGAAAGGTGCGCATTATTTCGGTGTAATCTATGCATCTCGTTCTTAATTTGATATCCAGAGGGACCCTCATTTATAGATACATTATTCACTGTTCTCAGAACCAAGACGTATCTCCCGTACACGGCCAGCGACCCAACAAGTTCCTTCTCGTTGCCCTTACATTCACAGTCCGCAGATACTGGGATTCCTATACCTCTGGATGGTCTCATATCTAATCATTCGCCGACAGAAAGAGGGCAGAAACGATCGCTGGAACATGATGAACGTGACGGGCGCCCGCCTACGAAAGGTGCTCGGTTAAGTGCAGAAGGCCAATTTTCACGGTATCCCAACGGTCGTGAGTCTCGCTCTACCGGTGCATGGAGTGGTGGCCAAAATAGGGCTGGTGGTCAAGGGATGATGGTGAATGGTACAATGGGTAGTGGCATGAATGGGAACAGTCAAAATGCGAACACCCGACGACCGCAAAATTATCAGCCCCCAGACCAAAGAAAAGGAATATGTCGTGATTATCATAGTGCGCTTGCTCTTTTGTAACGATTTAAAGACACTACTCACATATACCTACAGATAATGGATATTGTGCTCGTGGTGCAT